CTTGCGACCTTCATCAGTACCTAAGAAAAAATATTATTTGATGAATGTATGGTAATAAAGTTATTCAATGAGGTAAAAGGTGTTATAAATATTTTTACTAATAGACTAGGACTATATAGAATTTCGAAAATATCTTTAATTTATTCCTTTGCTTTTTCCTAAAATTACGTATTGATGCAAATTATCAGCTAGTTTTGATTTAAAATAATCCACATTATAATCAATTTACATGTTAATAATTAATATTCTCGACTAACCTTATATATACAGGGTGTTTCACGAACATCGAAACAGAGGCGTTTTAGGGTATTTTAGGGTCGATTAAAAAAAAAAAACGCTCGGACACGTCAATTTTGTATTCAAGGGGGAAAGTTTTTGACCCCATTTCGCTAGGATGCACCCCCTGGGGGATAAAGACTCTGAGATAGGGCCTGTTTAGTGGAGTCATTTTTTTTTCTCTGGCAATTTGAGGGCTGAATGTGGCTAGTTAGTTGATGAGAATATGAGTGGTTTTAATGCCTGCCCCCTGTTCGAAATGTCCACAGAATGTTTTGCCGGAGAACTCGATTTCGAACTGTGATTACCGTCTGGCGATTTTCCAGCGTAATTTTCACAACAAAACCTTCTATTCTCTCGATTGCCAGACAAAAAGAAAACGCGGAAAGTTCTTTTCTTCTCTCTTGGAAGTTGACACCCATCCCCACTTTTTCAGCTATTGAAGAGCATCTGGTATTTTTCATGGGTGAATTATTTATCAATGTCAATCTTTTATTTGAAAGCCAAAAAATTTGAGATCATTGAAAAAAAATTCTTCATGTAAATCAATTTTTTTCTTCTCCAAATTTTCGAACGGGTGGCAGGCACTAAAATCACCCATATTCTTATCAGCTAACTAGCCACATTCACCCCTCAAAATGCCAGACAAAAAAAAATGACTACATTAAACAGTCCCTATCTCACAATCTAATAGGGCAGATGGGTCGAGTGGTACCTTGTTTTAAAGGTATTTTGATTCTTGTCACAACTGCGTATTTTTTTTGAAAATCGAATAATTAGTTCTCAAGATATTCACGGGCAAAATTGCCATGGGCTAAATGAGAAATAATTTTCTGGCCCTGTTATTCTCAAATTAACACTTTCCTGCCTTTCCTCTCGAAGCAAACAAAAAATAAAAATTCATGTGTCAGAGAGGCAAGTCAGGAAAGTGTTAATTTGAGAATAACAGGGCCTAAAGATTGCTTCGTATTTAGCCCATGGCAACTTTGACAGTGAATATCTTGAGAACTAATCATTCGATTTTCAAAAAACAAAATACGCTGTTATGACGAGAATCAAAATACCTTCAAAACAAGGTATTACTCGACCCATCTTCCCTATCTAAAAAAGAGGGGTGAAAGTAATCCCTCCCAGAGGGTGTACCTTAGCGAAATACAGATGGGGTCAAAAAGTTTCCCCCTTGAATACAAAAATGACGTGTCCCAGCGTTTTTTTTTAATCGACCTCAAAATACCCTAAAACGCCTCTGTTTCGATGTTCGTGAAACACCCTGTATATATACAGTGTGTCCCAAATTGGTGGGGAATGTATTAGAATATAGTGTGCGATTAGATTGAAAAAATTTAATCGCACATGCGTATTCTGCACAAAGAGTTGCTTTGAAAGTGATTTTGCAGATTTGAGAAATTTTCAAAAATACAAGAGATATAGCCTATTTCCAAAGAAACATCTTTTCAGTTTTTTCTTAATATCTCAAAAATGTGAATAGCTTGACTCAATCTGCAAGCGAACGTCTAACATAATTGTCTAAAACTTTTCCCATTTAACCTCTCTTGAATCTGTTATAGTTTCCTATATCTCAATCCATTCCCCATCAATTTGGGACACACTGTATATAGTTTTTATACAATGAAAAAATATAATAAATAAAATAAAACTAAAACGACTTTTATTAATTAGAGTCTTGAAAATTACAAACCTAATACAAATGTGGTTCAGTGTGGCGAACTCTAGCTATTAGATATTCTACTTAACCACTCTATAATAACCGTTCTACGTCTTCCGATTCCCAATCTCCAGCCATCTCTGTCAATCTAGGCATCCTCCTCCAAGTCCCTCTCTTTCATTTCCTCGTCCACTCCACTTCTCCAGCTTCTTCTCGGTCTCCCCCATTTTCTCCTTCTCCCTGATTAAATTATTTGTTTGGGTATTCTCGTATCTGCCATTATTTGTACATATCCGAACCAAATCAGTTGTTTGTCTTTTGATATCATCTACTATTGTGTGTCTTACGTTCATAATTTATCTAATTCTCTGGTTTATTATCTTGTTATCCTTTCCATTTTTGACCTGCAAACGGCTCTTCTCCAAAGAACTATTTCAGTATTTTCGCAGTTCTGTCCTTCAGTTGCCAGTCCTCTGAACTTAACTGCTGGATAATTGCTTTCGAGCAAGGAAATGTTTTCGCCTAAATTCCAAGCTCAATATTTTTGGAACCAGACCAAATATCGAACTCCGGTTTTCAAAGATCCGATCTCTGAGCTTTCAAATCAAATTTCCGACATCTCTAAAAAGCTCGACTATCTCCTTCGCAACAGAAGCAGGTCCAGGGCACGAAGCACAAGTAGAGAAGCAACCAACAAAGAATTTTGTTTCTATCGCAACCAGTTCGGAAGCAAGGCAAAGAAGTGTACAGCACCTTGCAGTTAAAATACTTTACCAAAAAACTAGAAATGCCGTTGGTCAAGGAGGTGGCAGCCAACACAGGTGTTCCAACACAGTACCGCCTCTTTATCAAGGACAAAATTACAGCAACAAACTTTTTAGTAGACACTGGAGCCGACATCAGTGTTCTTCCCAGAAGCTTTGCACCAATTCTGTCACTTTTGCTTTTCCTTTGCATGCAGCAAATGACTCCATTATCCAGACTTTTGTTCATAAAATTCTCAATCTCAACTTGGGTTTAAGACGTCTAGTCACTTGGAAATTCATTATTGCCCATGTTGCACGTCCAATTAGTGGAGCAGACCTCCTAGCCTGTTTTGACCTTTGTTGCGGATCTCAAAAACGAAAGAATTTCTAACTCCATAACAAATCTTCATGTTCCTGGATGTTTTCTTCCTTGCTCGGAACCTACCGTCACCATAGTGTCAAGAATTTCAAAATTCTCAAAGAAGGATCAGTCTTTCACCACATAATCACAAATGAACCTCCAGTGGCAGATCGACCCAGAAGGCTACCACTAGAAAAATTCGAAATTGCCATGGCAGAGCTCGCATATATGATGTCTCAAGGTATCTGTCGACCTTCGGACAGTCCTTGGGCTAACCCTTTACATCTGGTCCACAAAAAGATGGGAAATGGCGTATTTGTGGAGATTATCGTCGCCTTAATGCAAAAACTGTTCCAGATAGCTACCCAATTGCCTATATTGGAGATTTTTCTTCTAAACTATATGGCAAGTAAATATTTTCCACCATCGACCTCGTCCGAGCCTAACACCAAATACTTATCACTCCTTTCGGTTTGTTTGAATTTCCTGTGATGACATTTGGTCTAAGAATTGCAGCGCAAATATTCACGGGCTGAGAGATTGACTTTTTGTGAAAGAAATTGCTATATGGAAACCAGAGGTCGATATTTTGGCTCCAAAAATATCGAGCTTAAAAATTAGGCACACTTTTTCTTTTGCTCGAAAGCAATTGTCCAGCAGTTTATATGCGACTAGGCTTTTGACGATCGTGTTGTATATTCTAGTTTTATATGCTCTGTTTATACTTTAGTCCCACAGTACATTGAGCAGGCATATTGCCTTCGGTCTAGGTAACATTCGGTGTCCCTTACAAGCTCCTTGGTTTGATTCTGGTTACAGCCTTTCGTATACTATGAAGGAGTTGCTTCATTGAGTCTTTAATAATTTCTATTAGTTATTTTCCTTCTCGTATTGACACAGCTCTGATCTTTGGTTCAAATATCTTATAGACCGATTTCCAGGCTTTAGATAAGAGCTTCACTGCTAGTTGATAGCTTGGTTTTGAGCAGTATTATTCCCTGTGCTATCTATATCTCTAATTCCGTTTATGGAATTTTCGATTACTAAGTTGTTCTCGCATTCCTGCTGCTGTTTCCGGGTATACCAAATGAACCAGACGGCGGATATCGGTTTTAAAGTCGTGTAAACTTTCAGCAGATTTATGTTCTCCTGTTCTTCTCGTTTTGATTGGTATCTTCGGGCTTCCTGTGCTTGTCTTTCTCTCTGTCTTCGATCTTCTTGTTATTGTGAAAGTGCTGCGAGCGGATCCTGTTCTTCTCGTCCTCGGGTTCAATCTTCTTGTCTTTCTTTCTGTCTCCGGTCTACCTCTTTTTGATTGGATATATTCCATGAAGTTCACCAACATTTTTGCTCCATTCCGGCTGTTTGTTGTCGTGTATTTACCATAAAATACACTGTATACAGAGTGTCCCCGATCAACTAGCCAAAAAAGCGAAGGTATATAGAGGAACCATAGAGAAGTAGTTTGAAATAGGACACCGCTGGTCGGAAGTGCGTCGTTTCCCCCGTGTGGGGTTCGGGTGTATAAAGAATGTTCCCACGGTAGTCCCTGCCTGTCGTAAAAGGCGACTTGAAGGGAACCACCGATGTGCTAGCAACTCATCAGGTGTAATGTCTGGCCGAAGCGGTACTGCAGCCAGCAGTATTTTGCTACGGGTAACGAGGTGTGTCCTGTACAGCCAGTTTCGCCTGCAAACCACCGAAAGGGCCAGTACCCCTTCTTGTGTGAAATATGTGCTCGCAATGGAAGAAATGCAGGGGTGGGACAACACAGACGCTAGCGGATAATGGCGGAGCGAGTGGCGCCTCACCGCGAAACGAAACTACACGGTCGGGCAGTACAGCGATACAACACCTTCGCGAAAGAGATGACGATATTGCAGCCGATATAATCTCTAAACCTATCACTTTCAACAGACAGCATAATCGGTGACGGAAGTTGCTTTTTCAGGGCTACGAGTCTGTACCTTTACGGCAATCAGGAAAAGCATGAGCAGCTACAAGAAGAAGCGCTGAAATATATACAACAAAATTGGACTGAGCTGCAACAGTATATCTTTACCAATGATGATAGTTTGAAGGATCTAAATAGGTACATGAATTATATGAAGAAAACTAGTACATATGCAACAAGTTTGGAAGCACTCGGCTTGTCAGAAACTAAAAATGTCTTCTATGTCTACCACAAGCAACAAAAAGTAACATCGATTAAATTAACTATCAAAATGATATCAACAATAATAAACAAAAAAGAACACAGGAACAGCATTCATCTCTTGTTGGCAGGTAGGCAAGACGCGGGACACTTCGAGCTTCTTACGCCTCAAGAAGCTCAAAATAGGTTTGGAGAAAAATCGCTGCCGGAAGGTCGTCGAGGCGTGTCCGAATCCGACGCTGGACACGACATGGACATTACGAGGTCCGTCGGTTATAGTCGCGGTTCGTTGTCATCCAACAAAACATCGCGCAAAATCCGGACGTGAATTCAGAGTTCTCGGCAGAACAACATCAAGCCGATCCACCTGTTCGTCTTATATCAAGAGGACTGCCTGCAGGGGATCTCATGCTGGACGTATGAAGTGGACCCGCGAGTTGAATACTGACGTTATGCACGCATTCTATTATGTCAATCGGTGTAATGACAAGCCACCTCTAGGATGGAGACAGTCCCTCTATGCGGAGTTTATCAAAAGACATCCGGAACTACCTCACCTTACTGAACAAAATATAGCCCTCCGCAAGAATGTCATTCTCAGAAAGATTTACCGTGAAGTCGGAGATATGCTTCATGAGAAAGAAGTTGGTTACGAAACGCTGTGGAACGCGCAGTCACAAAAAAAAAAACAATTTAGTGGAACCACCCGGTAACTGTAAAGTGAACTCAACACAGCAACTAGATTCGTTTCGACAGGAAGTGTTGGATAAGTTCCATGAATGTCTTTCACGATATCAGAATACCCTTGGTGCGACCTGTTATTTCCATATCAAAAAACATCGAAAAGGCTAAGAAACTTATCGCTGGGGTAAACGAAGTTCTCTCCGAGTATTTCTCTGAACACCGTGCGCTGGAAGAAGTTCATCTTGCCATTTATAGCGCTGCTGTAACTGTTATCGAGCCTAACGGCCAAGCGACTTACGTCCCAGTGAAAATAAAGACTAACACCAATGGAAACAATACCCTTGCATGGAAAAGAAGGCTCGAAAATAAAATTTAAAACCTTAGAGCAAAAGCGGACCTCATAGGCGAATTTATGAACGATCACCTATCCAGCAAGGTGAAAAAAAAGTCCGGGCTATTGCGCTCACAGCAGGAATCAATGTGAACAGTATAAAGCTAAGGCAGCTAGGCTTCGCAGATACAATGAGCTAACCAAGAGGAAGAAACAAAATTCTAAATTCTTATCTAATCGGAAAAGATTTTTCAGGGAGCTCGAGAGCAGTGAACTAAATGCACCTAACACAAATATTGATGTTGACAAATTTGGTAACTACTGGAGTTCAGTCTGGTCCCAACCAACGCACATTAATCAAGACGCAGAATGGGTTACCAAAATAGAAAAAGCTAATGCTCAAATTGCCAAAATGAGTGTTGAACAGATCATCGATGACGACATTTCGATGGCAATCAGAAGAAATGGTAATTGGAAAACACCGGGACCGGGCAGATTTCATACCTTCTGGATAAAATATTTTCCAGCCACCTACAAAAGCCTAGCGTCGTGTTTCACAGAAGCTCTATTAAATCCCAAGAAATTCCCAGAATTTTTGACTAAAGGACACACTTACATGTTATTTAAAAAAGGCGATCCTACCGCACCGAAGAGTTACCGGCCAATAACTTGTTTGTCAGTAGTTTACAAACTGTTTACTTCCATCGTTAACAACAAAATATATGACCACTGCACTGCAGCGATATTTAAGAGGAGGAACAAAAGGGCTGCGCGCGAGGTTTATGGGCACCAAACATCAACTTACCATAGACGCAATAGTGCTGAAACAAGCTCAAACTAAGAAGAGGAACCTAAGAATGTGTTACCTCAATTATGCCAAAGCATTTGACTCGGTGCCTCATGACTGGTTGGTGAGAGTCTTTGAAATATACAAAATGTGTCCCAAACTATTAAATGGGCTCTAACATTTGAAAAGTAACTGGAGGACAAACATTTTTGGAAACAATAACAAGGCAGGAAAGATCAATATTTTCAGGGGTATATTCCAAGGAGATTTTTTATCCCCAATGTGATTTTGCCTTGCCATGAATCCGTTGTCCGCACTTCTCCGAAGGATAGATATAGGACACAAACTGGATACTAAAGGAACCCTAAAATTGTCACATTTATTATACATAGACGATTTAAAACTTTACGGAGAAGACAGTAAAAAAATCAATAAACTAATTGACACCGTTAAAGTCTTCAGTGACGATATCAATATGTCTTTCGGGCTAGACAAGTGCGCAATCATAAATATCAAGAAGGGCGTAGCGACGGATGCAGGGAAAGTGGGGCATGGAATCGAGATCCTCCCTCCGGAGAAAAACTTATGAGTATCTTGGAACGCCACAGAACCAACGTATAGATCACACCCAACTGAAGAAAATCTTCGTGGGGAAATATAGACACAGAGTAACAAAAATAATGAACACTAAGCTTTCAGGTAAAAACCTGATCACAGCTATCAACTCTTGGGCGGTTCCTGTGTTGACGTACACTTTTGGAATATTGAAATAGTCTGATGCAGACTTAAATGACTTAAATTGACCAAGTGTGTTTGAAAATGTAAACTTCAAGGGATCTTATCTAGGATCCATCAGATTGAGAATAAAATTAAATAAGACGAAGTATTTTAAATGTTATTCCATCTGAATCCGAAAGATTGCCTGCATAATGGAAAAAAATTCACCAAAGCCAAAAATCAGTAATAAATAAAAAAACAACCAGTTCGTTTTATCAACATCGAATAAGAGTACCTTTTTTTAGTTCAAGTTTGAAACTACCTGAAAATATTAATGCTGTGCCTTTATCATACAGGGAGTAAAAAAAAACTAGCATTATTGTGTTGCAGCTAGTCTAATCGGCTAACGCGAACAATTATGACAAAGTTTCGCTGTCTGCATACAAATTCTTCTGTAAAACGCGGGAGGAAGAGGCTTAGCTAACATATACACTCTCTGCAGAGCGCAAGAGCAAAATATGAGACAGCGGTTTCTCCAGCCCAGCGATACATACATCAGCTGGCAGCACAAGACCAAAACTTTACTCCCCTGAAACTGTAACATAAGCAGCTGGAGTTCGAAATCAGAAAAAAGCAACAAAAAAATTGGCTTGGTCGGAACAGGCACTACACCAGAAGCCTGGAGGCCGAAAACATTGACTTTGCAGCTTCGGTGAAATGGCTGAATACTGGTCAACTCTACCCTGAGACCGGGGCATTTCTTACTGCCATACAAGATAGAGTCGTTAGAACTAAAAACTACGAAAAGTAGGTACTGCCTAAAACTTAATGTGGAGGACAAATGCCGAAAATGCAATATGCCTGGGAAGACCATAGAGCATATTATGGGAGGCTGCCAAACGCTCGCTGATAACGCATATCGTGTTCGCCATAACCAACTGGCCAAAATTGCGCAACAACAGCTTGCCCTAAAGCATGGTCTATAACAGACGTGCCCCCCATACTACAAGTACCAACTATCGCCGGTACTGGAAACGCAAGAAGCAGTACTTTACTGGGATCGTCTAATCATAACGGACCGGAAACTCGATTTCAACAGACCGGATATTGTTCTGATTGAGAAACACAAAAAATTGGGAACTGTAATAGATAACATTGCAAAAGTGGAGGTAGAGAAGTTAGAAAATGTGAAAATCTAGCATTGGAAATAAAAAACATCAGGCAGTTACAAAGGGTAACAACAGTAATAATCTCGGCTGAGGGATTTGTCTCTAAAAACCTCAAAAAAAATCTGAAAACCATAGGATTGAGTGAGAACATTGTTTCATATGGGCAGAAGGTAGTTGTACTACAAACCTGCCACCTAGTTCGTGAATTTTTGAACTGAGTGAGAGGAACTGAATTGTTTACTCACCAGTTCAATAAGACCTGACATACCGATTGATCAGAGATTATGAAAGAAAAGAAATAATAATAATAATATTTTCACTGAAGAGCAGAAAGGGTGCAAAAGAGAATTTACGGGCTGCAAGGAACAAATAACAATCGCTAGTGTAATATTGGAACAATTCAGAAGGAAAAGCAGGAATCTGTACATGGCATATACAGGGTGTCCGTTTTTCGAGGGCAACCATTGGAATATAGGAAACGGTAAGAGATACAGGTTCGGTTAAATTGAGACAAAGTTGCGCAATTTGTTGCTCAATAAAATGGTACTTTGACATTTGAAAAATTCCGAACTTTCCGAAATATCCGGAAAAAACCAAAATCGATTTTTTTTTTTAGCTTATTTGGGGAGATATTTCAAAATATATGTAACATTATCAAATTTAAAATCTGATGTTTCGTCTTGTGGCCACCATCATCAACTTCATTTTTTCAAATACGGCCCTTGATTTTCTTTTTCAGATTTTAAGAGCATCTGATGTCCCAAAACCTATGACGTATTGCATTTAATTGAAAAATATTTTTTTTACCTTTTAGTAAGTAATTTCCTACCCAAATTCTCTTCTCTGTCTCTCTCTAACACATAAAGTTCTAATGGAAAGTGCCAATAATATAAATTTTTCAAATGAGTGCAATACGTCATTGGTTTTGGGACATCATACAGTCTACATAACAAAGAAAACTACATTAAGTATATGAGTCAAGATGGAATAAGTTTAGAGGCCATGGGAATATCTGTAACACATGAAGGAGAGATTCAAATTTTTCTAGAGAGAAGGAAACCAGAGACGTCTGAGACGTCTTTATACTCTACAAAAGACAAGCCAATCAAAATCGCCAAAAGAACACACGAGGAAATAATTTTCCTTCTACTATCAGGAAGACCCGGCAAAGGACATTTCGATCTATTAATACCCGCAATAGATACCCAAGTAGAAGATGACAGAGAAAGGGAAAAAGAAGGCATTGCACCAAATCAAGGACAACAAAATACATCGGTATGTCAGCAAAACAGACAGAAAAAGAAGGGTGGAAGAAGAACTAAGTGGACGCAAAAGGAATATTGTGGAATCCTGTGGTGCCATTTTTACACAATTGAAACGTCTGGAACAGCTAACCTGAAAAACACATATGACCTCTGGAAGGAAAGAATCAAATAGTCAAATATTAATCTGACACCTAATAACACAATTTATTTATCCTTAACAATAATAAAGTACCAGAAGAGGTACTAATGAAGATTTAACAGACAGTAAAAGAGTTACTCCAAACCCAACAACCAGACCAAATTCTGCACAACCAGCAACGATCCGTATCACAGCAACCCAGAGAATAGTAGTGATTCAGAAAACGTCAATCACAA